GGGCCATCCACTGCCTGGTCTCTCCACTACTTCCTTCTATGGGCCTATTGGGGGCACTCGATATACATAACTACATCATTCACTGCCCCTCTAGAATTCATGATTCTTCCCTGAGCCTCATTGACCTCCATTCCTTTTTCTCCCTATACATTCCACAATAGAAAGATCAGCAGCGAAGGCACAGTGAACGACCATCTGTCTTCACAAACGATGGGCTACCGCTAACCGGCACCTCCCAACGTGGACTTCGGAGCACCTTTACCCCATATGTGTCGACCTTCCATCCGCGCCCTATGCCTTCCTCAACCCTCACTTTCCGTCACCCGCTCTCACACCAGGGCATTGCCACCATCCCAGCCAGCGACGTGACCACCTACTACCCAAAACCGGCCCTTGCGGGCTCCTGCTGGACTGCTCCCTTTCGGGACGGTCTGCCCACACCTCCCAGCGACATGACCGGGGTGACCTACAATGCCATGCCAAGTGTGGCCTACGGGGGGAAACCAGATGGAATCATGCACGGCCACGCCCGTCCATTTGACTCGGTGTCATCGTCCATGGTGGCTGCCATGAAGTCCCAGAATTCGGCGGTGCCCGTGAAAGAGGTCCCTGCCTCGGAGCCTGCCAGCAACCAGAAGAAGACGACCAGCACAGGTGGCTCGCAGCTACGCATTCCATCGTCCATCAACGGCAGCAAGGGCAGTCTGGCTGAATTTGCAGCTCAGGTGAGTGAAATCCAGGACATCGACAGTGACGGTCACTAATCTCGGGGATCCCACTAGATGACCTGCCTGTTTTGGTTTGAACAAACCTCCAAACTCCAAGCCATCGAAGACCGGCTGCATCCGGTGCCATCGCTCGTCCCCGAAGCCATGCCCACGGTCGGCTTCCAGAAATGGGTGGCCTCCATCCTGTCCACCACCCAGGTCAGCCAGAATGTGATCCTGCTGGCTCTGCTGTTTGTCTACCGACTGAAGAAGTTCAATTCGGGGGTCAAGGGCAAGAAGGGCAGTGAGTTCCGGCTGATGACGGTCGCCCTGATGCTGGGCAACAAATGTACGGGTGATAGGCGATAAGCCGATAAGCCGATAAGATAGGAACCCATGCTGACTCAGCCTATAGTTCTCGATGACAACACCTACACCAACAAGACCTGGGCGGAGGTCTCGGGCATTGCCGTGCACGAGATCCATATCATGGAGGTGGAGTTCCTGAGCAACATTCGTTATGACCTGTTCGCCTCCAAGGCCGAGTGGGCGCGGTGGCACACCCTGCTGGGCCTGTTTGGCGACTTCTTCAGCCAGGCCTCGATGCTGCCACTCGAGTCGGAGCAGCACCCCCCCATGCTGCGTATCTCGCCGCCGCCATCGCAGTCTCCCCTATCGTCCAAGCTGCCCTCGCCTCCCGCTACCAACGACCTGCCACGCCCGCAGTCCCAGCCGAACTGGTACATGCCTATCCACGGTCTGCCGCCCTACGGAGCACCCTCACTGCAACCTCAGTTCGAGGCCGCTCTGGGTACTTCCCGGAAACGGAGCCGGGACGATCTGGAGGTTTTGCATCCTGCGAAACGGCCGGCAATCTCAACCACCATCTCTACTCCCGCTTTGACGATGCCTTCGTCCACTATGACGCCCATGCCGACCCTGCCGGCCCTGCCCCCGGTCATGACTCCAACTTCTGTCCCGACGTGCCAGGCGCCCATGGCACCGGTTTCTCGTCTCCCGCCCCCCAATCTGCCACCATCCTCCCACCCAGTGCCACAGCCACTCTCCTCGGCCGCTGTGTCTCAACTCCCGACCCTGATGCCCCCAATCTACAACCGGACCCCCAACTGGACACAGCAGATGCCCCCGGCGGCTCTCCCTCCGGTGTCGTCAGGAGGCTACTACACGACCCCGACACTCCCAGAACTGGGCCGACACCACCCGAACACCTTGGGCGTGTCATCTGCGACGGTCTCGCCGGCCGTCTCCGCCTACTCCGTCCACACCCCTCAAACCCACCTCTCTCCGTCTTTCTTCCTGGCCAACCGCAATTCGCCCTACCGGCCAGTCCGCTCCGTCCACACCCTCCTGATTCCTCCTCCCTCAACCTCCATGCAACAGCAGCGCAGTGTCCCCTTCGACCACATGCACTACCAGCCACTGGGCAAGACCTCTGCCGACCGCAGGACTGGTCCGCTGCCCTTCATCCAGCCGGAGGCATGGAACCAGGGCCTTCCCTTCCCACAACCCCTCTTCCATCCGACGCAGAGCTACTCCAGTTGAGCTTTGCCTCTTTTGTTCTTATTCTCACGACTTCACCGTGTCACGACCCTCTTACGAGAAACCCCTTTTATTCTTTCTCTGTATACATCTTTTTTCCCTCTTTGCCTTTTTCCCCTTTCATCCTTGTACAGGATTATCTTTATTATGATTCCGCATGTGCCTGGCGTTTATTTCATTACACCTAGAAAAGGGGCTTTCATATGGGTGTGTTTCCGTCTCCCAATAACGGGAATATGGCAATCTACTCTGGCGTTTGTTTATCTCGGAGGGCATTCGATTCGCTGCACCTTGCATTTGCATGATTCTGGCGTTTTACACGAGCAGAGCTAGCCCTGCCAGAATAAGAAACTAGACTTGTTATTCTCTTGCTCTCTACATTTTCGTCAAGTAATTTTTGTAACAAAACCTGCATAGCAGATGGCAATAATCTACTAAATGTGGTCAACTGGTAGACCGACACTGGACATCCCGGCCCGATATTTCTCCGGACAAATATCGCTCCCTCCAGCACCGACCGAACAACACACATCTCCCTTCTCCTTCCACCACACCACACACACCACCATGGCTCCTCGGCTAATGGGGCTACCCCTACAATTGCAGCAATTTGCTGCCCGCCCCATTCTCCAATCATCACCATTGGCCTTCCTCCTCCCACACATCCAGCATACCCAGACTCGCCAAGCGTCCATCCTGGGCTCGCTCTCCGACAATCCCTCTGCCTATAACAAGCGCATTCGCCGTGGTCGCGGTCCTGCCTCAGGAAAGGGTAAGACTTCCGGCCGTGGACACAAGGGTCAGAAGCAGCATGGCAAAGTGCCGGCGAATTTCAATGGTGGGCAGACGAAGGATATTGTCGTGCATGGCGAGCGCGGATATACGAATATGTATGTCTTTTCCTCTTCCTTTCCTCTCTTACACTTTCTCTATCAATCTACGGTCATATGGGCGGTCGTTATAAGTGGCAAGGATCTGACAATAGGCGAAACACGAACAGCTTCTCCGCCGACCTAGCCCCCATCAACCTCGACCGCATCCAAGACTGGATCGACCAAGGCCGCATCGATCCCGCGCGCCCGATCACCGTCCGCGAGCTGCTGGACTCCCGCTGCATCCACCAACACCGCGACGGCGTGAAGCTGCTCGGCCGCATTGAGGCATCCACCCTTAAGCAGCCGCTGCACCTCGTTGTATCGCGCGCATCCGCGTCCGCCATCGCAGCCGTTGAAGCCGCCGGTGGCACCGTGACAACGCGGTACTACACACGCTCGGCCATCGCGCGGATCATGGCGCGCGAGACGCACCCGTTCCTCTCGCTGGCGTGGACGGCGCAGAGCGGGAACGAGGCTCTGCACGAGGCGGCGGGTGTTGCTGCTACTGATCAGGAGGGAGAGGTGATGAAGGCTATGGGGTTCCGGTTCCGCTTGCCCGACCCGTCGAGTCGCCGGGATATCGAGTATTATCGTGATCCCGCCCATCGCGGGTATTTGAGCCATCTGCTCAAGCCGATGGAGGGACCGAGTCTGTTCTTCCGCTCCCCGGAGGAGCGCAAGTCGACGGCTGGTGTTAAGAAGGAGAAGGTTCTGCCGGAGAATAGACTCTGGTAGTTGGGTCCTACCGCCTCTTTTGGAGATTTCTTTTGTTGCTACTCATTCGATCCCTCTTGTACATGTATCACTACTAGCCTCTTGTCAAAATCGAGTCCTATCTATCATACTTCTTTGTCTTATCTCCTTCAGTCAGCACCTACCCCAAGGGTATCGCCCGCCTCTACACCCAGCCCAATCAAGTCCCCCGACAAGCCAAACCAACCCAACCCAACACCACCATCTCCCACGCACTACTACACCCGCTTACTCGCCCCTCAAACGCCCGGCCCAAACCCGCCCATCCAATTTCTGCAATCGAAAGCGAGGGCCGATCCATCCTACTTGCGGACAGTGCCACAGCTAAGCTCATCGTAGTCTAGTAGATCCTCCCACATAGCCCAATGCAGGCCGCCGTAGTCAGCGGCGTCCGTACAGCACGGCTTGCCGGACGCCGCAGTGGGTCTTGGCGCCAGTCGAAGGCTGCCCTCGGGGACGCCGCTGGGGCCTCGAGGAATCCGTGCGTGTCCCAAATGCTAGGTATTAATTGCGCCCCGGTAAAGCCCGGTGCATGGACCTGGGCTTGAACTTTCTCTCTCTTCGATCCTCTACGGTCTGCCCCCGAAATTGCTATTATTATTATTGCATCTCGGCGGATTTATCCAGAGGTAGTTTAGTTGATTCTATCTACAGAACGGCGCAACCCTCCAGGAACCCTTGTGCCAACACGGCAGTAAACACCGCAGCGATGGAGTTTTCCCGACTCCACGTGCGGGAGTGGAGTGGTCCGATATCTGCGCGAATAAGAATGGTCTCCGCCAAGTTAATTCCAGGTTAAATTCCCGGCCCAAAGTACCAAAGTATGAAACTCGGGCTGTTGTTCGCTAAGCTGCACGAGCTACTATTAGTTGGTGGGTTTGCTCTTAGGGTTTGACGATTTCGCCTCTTTCGGGTTTCTTTTCTTTTTCTGGCCGGAAAATTGAATCTGTTTAAATATGCTAGAGTTCCCTCTGGCGTAGACACTTGGAAACGACATACAGCTCCAACCACCCACTCCATCAAGCAAGCCCTGAGCAACAAACCCCCAATCCCCCAATACAACAAGAGACAAGATACAGAATACCCCCATGTGCACCAGCCCAGTATGGAAAAAACCAAATACCCCAAAGAGACATTCACCGCAACCCACGAGGTGGACACGGGCGAAATCATCGACGACAACCATGGCCTAAAGCGACACCTCTCAAACCGCAAGGTCCAACTGATCGCCATCGGCGGGTCCATCGGGACAGCCATGTTCGTCAGCATCGGCACCTCGCTGAACGGCGGCGGGCCCGGCAGTCTGCTGCTCGCGTACGGGCTGTACTCGTGCGTGCTGGCGCTGGTGAACAACGCCATGGCCGAGATGGCCGTCTACATGCCCGTCAATGCGAGCTTCATTCGCCATGCCGCCGTCTGGGTCGACGATGCCTGGGGGTTTATGGCGGGCTGGAATTTCTTCTTCTATGAGGCTATTCTCATCCCCTTTGAGATTAGCGCCCTCAATCTTGTGATCAAGTATTGGAGCGACGATGTCCCCGTCGGCGCTATCTGCGCGGCTTGCATTGTTTCCTATGGGTATTTCTCTCCTCTTTCCTTCCCTTCCTTGTGCCTATCCCACTCCAACTCCCAAAGCGCCTTACCTTTTCTTTCCCACTGCCCGTTGCGTCTACTACCGAACCTAGCCCGTACTGATTAATGCCCGATGCGAACGCTTAAAGTCTTATCAACGTCGCCGCCGTCCGATACTACGGCGAAGCCGAGTTCTGGCTGTCCTGGGGAAAGCTGCTCCTCATGGGAATTGTCTTCTCCTTCACCTTCGTGACGATGGTGGGCGGTAATCCGACCCACGACGTCTATGGATTCCGATACTGGAATAACCCGGTATGACCATGCCCACCCTCCAACCCACGCACGTCTTTTCTTCTGATATGCTATACTATAATAGGGCGCATTCGCCGTGTCCATCACAACAGGATCAATGGGCCGCTTCGAAGGCTTCCTGAAAGCCCTCTGGGGCGCAAGCTTCGCCCTCGTCGGCCCAGAGTACATGGCCATGGTCGCCGGCGAGACCAAACTACCACGGGTCACGCTGAAGCGCGCCTTCAAGTCCGTGTACATCCGCTTCGGAGTATTCTTCATCGGCGGCGCGCTGTGCACGGGAATCGTCATCCCCTACAATGACAAGACCTTGCTGAAGAACCTCGGCACCAGCACCGGTGCCGCCTCGCCCTATGTCATTGCCATGCAGAACATGGGTGTTGCCGGGCTGCCGTCTCTGGTTAATGCCTTGTTGCTGACGAGTATCTACTCCGCGGGTAATGCGTACTGCTACTGCGCGACGCGCACGCTGCATGGTCTTGCGCATGACGGGCACGCGCCTCAGTTTTTGAAGAAATGTACCAAGCAGGGCGTGCCGATCTATTGTCTTGGGATTACGATGGTCTTCCCGCTTCTGTCGCTGCTCCAGCTGTCTAATGGGTCCAACCAGGTGCTGACATGGTAGGTGACTCCTCATCCATCTTTCCTTTTTGACCCTTTAAACATGGAGTCTAACTGACGATTCACTCAGGCTGGTCAACATCGTCACCGCCGGCGGCGTAATCGACTACATTGTAATCTGCACAACCTACCTCTTCTTCTACCGCGCATGCAAAGCACAGGGGGTCAACCGACGCGAACTGCCCTACTATGGCTACTTCCAGCCCTGGAGCACAGTCTTCGCGCTGTGCTGGATGATCTGCGTCGTCACCTGCTACGGATACGCCACGTTCCTGCCGGGCAACTGGAACGTCGGCACGTTCTTCACCTACTACGCCATGGTGTTCCTGGCCATCCTGACCTTCAGCGGGTGGAAGATTTTCAAGCGGACGAAGTTCATTAAGCCGCACGAGGCGGATCTGGTCTGGGATCGGCCGGCGATTGAGCGGTATGAGCTCACGACGCTGGATAAGGATATTGGGTTCTGGAATGAGATGTTGCTGCTTGTGGGGATTAAGAGGAGCAAGGTGGACGAGGCGGAGAGGAGTCCGGAGAGTCTGTAATAGATGACTATGATACACACACTGATGAATACCAATTTGAAGATGTTTGTCTGCAAACACAACACATCGCATTGAGATGTTCTATTTTGAGTACAATGCCACACGAATAGAGGCGAGGATTGAGGGGAGAAGATATAACAAGCCGACCAATACAGTAAGGGTACATGGACACACTTCAAGAAACTCCAGCTTCACCCCCCCGGATCCCCTGGTGCTGATCGCTGATTCCCGCGCGGTGAATATAAGGCGCCAAACAAACAGGACGAAAGGAAAGGACATCAAATAATACACAGGCCAATCTGACCTCTAAGTGAAAACTAGATTCACATGACGCGGGTGACCAGGCCGGTCGCGACAGTGCGGCCGCCCTCGCGAATGTTGAAGCGCTGGCCGGCCTCGGCAGCGATGGGCTTGTGGGTCTCGAGGATCATCTCGACGTTGTCACCGGGCTGGACACGGCGGGAGGCGTCACCGTCGGGGAAGGACAGATCGGCCGCCTCGTCGGCAGTGCGGATGAAGACCTGCGGGCGGTAGTTGTTGCCGAATCCAGTGCGGCGACCACCCTCGGCCTCGGTCAGGACGTACATCGACACCAGGAACTTATTGCAGGCCTTGGTGCTACCGGGGGCGGCGACAACCATGCCGCGGCGAAGGTCCTCGCGGCGGACACCGCGCAGCAAAAGGCCAGAGTTGTCACCGGCGCGGGACTCGTCACAGCTCTTCTTGAAGGTCTCAATGTCAGTAACCTTGGTCTTGATGGGCTCGACACCGCCACCAATGATCTCCACCTCGGTATCCTTCTTCAGGAGACCGCGCTCAACACGGCCAGACACGACAGTACCACGGCCGGGGATGGAGAAGACTTCCTCAATGGACATGAGGAAAGGCTTGTCCAGGTCACGCTCGGGGGTCGGGATCCAGGTGTCGACGGCGTTCATGAGCTCGTCCATCTTCTCGGTACCGATCTCTGGGCGGCGGCCCTCCAGGGCGCAGAGCGCAGAGCCGAAGATGATGGGAGTCTCCTCGCCCTCGAATCCGTAACTGGAGAGCAGCTCGCGCATCTCCAGCTCGACAAGCTCCAGCATCTCCGGGTCATCGACGGCATCGACCTTGTTCACGAACACGACAATCTTCTGCACACCGACCTGGCGGGCGAGCAGCAGGTGCTCACGGGTCTGGGGCCTATTGGATCGGTCAGTATTTTTTTTTTTACGGCAAAAATCCAGGGCATCCATACATCTGACCATCAGAAGCAGCAACGACAACAATAGCACCGTCCATGTTGGCAGCACCAGTAATCATGTTCTTGATGTAATCGGCGTGACCGGGGCAGTCGACGTGGGCGTAGTGGCGGGTGTCCGTCGAGAACTCGATGTGGGCAGTCGAGATGGTGATACCGCGCTTGCGCTCCTCGGGAGCCTTGTCAATGGCGTTATAATCCAGGAAGCTGGCAAGACCCTTCGAGGCCTGGTGCTTGGTGATGGCGGCAGTGAGTGTGGTCTACAGCGGATACGTTAGATGGGGGCGTCGGGGGAGCATTGTCACGGTCGAGTCTCACCTTGCCGTGGTCGACGTGACCAATGGTACCTTTGATGGGCTTTAGCGGGCAAACAACCAGTGCGCGAGATTCAATTGACATACCGATGTTCACATGGGGCTTGGTGCGCTCGAAAGCAGTGGCCAGACCACGGACAGCCATCTTGTCGCTGGCGAAAACATGGTGAACGGGGTTGACGGCGCGAGGGCGCAACAGGGAGGCCCGGCTGCTGCGCGCCAGGAGGTTGACGGAACGGGAGATGCTCGACATCCTGGACGAATTGACAGAAAGAAATCGAAGAAAACGAAGGGAAGAAAGAAAGAAAGAGAGATGGAGGGAAGGAGGAAGCCGGGACCATCACCTTCCCAAAATTTTAGGGAGGCTTAGTCATCGAGCCAATCACGGGGCTGGGATTGCGGACTATACAGAGCGAGGCAGTTCATTACTTTCAATAGTGTTGCGTTTCTTTTTGTCAATTATGCCGGATAGTCCGAAGGTGTCGCCGATGGCCATCGAAGGCATTAGACTCGAATGGAACCATTGTACTACAAACTAAGTAACAGGAGTCGAGGGCCCTCCTCCTGTCCCGGTGTCGCATGGACTGTGCTAGCAGGGAATCCCTTGCTCAGACATGACACCTATTTTTGGGGGATTCTGTTCATGCAACGGCTTCGAAACTGGGAGGGAATCTTTTCTCTTTCAGATGATATATTCAGAATTTGAACTGAGAGCATGGCCAGGTAGTATATCTCCTCCGCCAGTACTGTGCAGTGCATACCCTCAAGACTCCTTCTTCACCACCAGGATAACATGTTCGCCCGGCTTGCCCTCCATTGACTTGGTCTGCGTAGCTCCCGCATCTCTGACCGTATCCAGCACGCTCTGCATGACCTGCTTGACCTCCTCCACAGTCGGAGCCCGCTTCTTCCGTTTCCTCGTTAGGACAATCTCCACCTTACGACCTTTCTCCAGGAAGGTCGTGAGCTGCTTCAGACGATGCGACAGGTCGTGCGCATCAATGGCCCAGTTTAGCTCGACCTGCTTCAGGTTCACCTTGGCTGCTTTTACCGCTTTGGCCTTGGCCTTTTCGTTTTCCTGGACCTCAATCTTGTTCAAGAGCTTGCAGACTGGTGGTCGATTGTTGTCGCCGCTGGGAGAGACTTGGAGGAGAAAGTATTTGGAGCGATCGAAGGAGCGGAGGGCCGCGTTGAGTTGGATTGGGGGGTCTAGGCTGCCTGCTTCGTTGACGATCTGTACAGTAGGGGCGTTGATGGCCTCGTCCTTGATGGGACCACTGACCGAGGATGCCGAGTCAGACGGGGCAGGCCGCCGGAATTGTAGGAATCGGAGTTGGGGCGCATTCTGGATGATCGGGGTGAGGTGGAAGAGCCCCGGGCGAGTCGTGCGGAGGGGTGCAATGAAGGTCTGGCGCAGGGCTTGTGCCGTGGACAAGAGCCCTCGTATGTGTGTCATGGTGTTGCCACGAGGTCAGTCAATATATTGATTGACTGGATCCCGTAGGTGACTGACTGTACTGAGTGTTGACCAAGCCCGGCCGCAAACAGCCAGTTCAGGACGTAGTCAGCAAGCCACCCGCCACATCTGCGCCACAACCCGGAATCCCTTTTTCGCCTCTGGTTACTTATCGTTGGATCTTTTTTTTACTTTCTCCCCTGAACCGTTGGATTTGCATTTAGAGCATTATCCTTTTGTTCCCTAATTCTAGTCATTCGCTCTTTGCATCCTCCCCGCCCCCTTCCGCTCCTTCTTCCTCCCCGGTGCGATCGCCACCTATCGCGCTGTACCCGTTGCTCGCATGTCGACAAGTGTCGACAAGCAACAGCCACCCAGCAAACTACTCGATCTCGATTCAGTCACTCGCCAGCGCTCAGTCTCTCACAGCAACGGCTCCGTCTCTCCTAACTCGGTCGAAACCGGTCACGGACTAGGCTCTGCTCCCCGCAGCCCCAAAAAATCCAGAATGGCCCAGACCCAGCGATCGCGGTATTTGAAGACCGCTGCTATCGTCTGTTTTGTGTTTATGCTGGTTCTATGGATGTCGCCCTCTAAGCCCACATACTCTCACACTAGTTTCAGCACCGGTATGCCCTACGGTAGCGATTGCATTGTCCCTCAGAACTGATTCCTTGTCCAGAACAACCGCCCTCCGGCGCCAGTGTCTCGACCAAATGCACAAAGCCCCATGATTCCTCCAAGCCTCTGATCCAGTATGCGCTCATGATCGATGCCGGCAGTACTGGCTCTCGTATTCACGTTTACCGGTTCAATAACTGCGGTCCCACCCCGGAATTGGAGAACGAAGTTTTCGAGCAGACCAAGAAGGTGGAAGGTGCTAGCTCCGGTCTTAGCGCCTACAATGAAGATGCCGAGGGCGCTGCCCGCAGCCTGGATCCCCTCATGGATGTTGCCGTGCAGAACGTTCCCGAAGAGTACAGGTCGTGTACGCCACTTGCTGTCAAGGCCACCGCCGGCCTTCGTCTGCTCGGTCAATCGAAGAGTGACAACATCCTCGAGGCTGTGCGACACCGTCTGGAGACCAATTACCCATTCCCCGTGGTGTCCAAGGAGAAGGGCGGCGTCGAGATCATGGATGGCAAGGATGAGGGCGTCTATGCGTGGATCACGACCAACTATCTGCTCGGCAAGATCGGCGGCCCCGACCACACCCCGACGGCCGCCGTCTTTGATCTGGGCGGTGGTTCCACTCAGATCGTTTTCGAGCCGACCTTCGAGCAGAGTGCGTCGGGCGGTATGCCGGAGCGCCTGGCGGAAGGTGATCACAAGTATGACTTGCAGTTCGGCGGCCGCCACTTCGAGCTCTACCAGCACTCCCACCTTGGCTATGGTCTGATGTCAGCGCGTGAGGCCGTCCACAAGTCCCTCGTGGAGTCCATGCTAGTCAATAACCCCAGCGACCTGTCGTGGCTGAAGCGGCCGATCACCAACCCGTGCATTGCCCCCACTATGGAGAAGGAAGTGGAACTGAAGTACCCCGACGGTCACCCTACTTTTGGCACAAGTATCAAGGTCAAGATGGCTGGCGTGAAGGAGCACTCCACAGCCGCGCAGTGCCGCGGTCTGACTGAGAAGATCCTGAAGAAGAACGCCGAGTGCAAGCTGGCTCCGTGCTCTTTCAACGGTGTGCACCAGCCGTCCCTGGCGAAGACCTTCGCCCGCGAGGATGTCTACGCCTTCTCGTACTTTTATGACCGCACCGAGCCACTTGGCATGCCCAGCTCCTTCACTCTGGATGAGCTGCACGACCTGACCTCTACTGTCTGCGCCGGCGAGTCCAACTGGAAGGTGTTTGAGGGCGTCGAAAAGGCGCTGGACGAGCTCCGTGATCGGCCTGATTGGTGCTTGGATCTCAACTTCATGTTGGGTCTGCTGCACACCGGATACGAGATGCCGCTGACTCGCGAGGTCAAGATCGCCAAGAAAATCAAGAACAACGAGCTGGGCTGGTGTCTTGGTGCGAGGTTAGTATTTCCCTCCCTGCAATCATCTTATCTGCATACTAATTTCTCTTCAGCTTGCCTCTCCTGAGCCAGGAATCCGGCTGGACATGTCGCGTCAAGGAGATCTCATAATTTTTCTTTCTTTCTCCTGATAGGTCCGCGACACGTTTATTTGATGGGTTCATGCATATAAATAGATCTTTGATATGCCCCCCTTGTCTCTTTTCTTCCCCGGTTGTGTGCTTTTCTAGATTTGTTTGTTGTCGTGTGGCCGGTGGATTCCCTGGTTTTTCTCCGGTATATATCTGTGATTTATATTACATTGGCGAATTTCTGCATACGAAAATGTCGACTTGCACTTGACAGATCATCTCAATCATATTCACGGTAAATGCTTTGTTAAATGGTATGCGATCACTCCGCCATCTCCTCGATTGTTGGCTTCTCCGTTGAAGATTTTTTGGTCTTCATGAGCTTCCCGAGGACATTCGAATCTTTTGGAGATGTTGATGCGTTTTTTGGAGCATGGTGAAAGTCAGGGCTTTCTTCCGCAGTGCTACCATCCTCCCGTTTCTCTTCCAGGACTCCCAACCCAAGATTCTAGAAAAGGTCAGCACTAGAATACCAATAGAGAAAAGAGGAGATTGAACATACCATTTCAATATACTGCCCCTGCCATTTCCCATCTCTCCCTCCCTCTCCTTCCTCCATATCCTCATCTTCATCCTCATCGTCTTCATCTCCACTCCCACGCCTATCCAAAGAAGAATCCAAAACAACATCTCCTGCCCTTCCCGCCGCGATATCCTTCTGCAAACTCTCATTCGCATCTTTCATCTGCGGCAGAAATGACGATAGCCGCGACAAGAGACCCGAATCGCCATCCATTCGCCGTATCTGTGGTTTGGGACGGCCGGTGATATTTGGTAATTGGGGCTCGGCGAAAACAGTGGCGGGACTATTGGTGGTGGTTGTGTGTGGGCGTGGATTCTCATTCTCACTTTCACTCTCGCTTTCACTTTCGGATGACGACGACCCCGATGAAGAGGTCGGTTCGTCGTCCGAGGATGAAGCTTGCGGTGGTTCATTCCATCCGTGACCTGTCGGCTTCATACCCCGTTTCGACAAACGGGCCAATCCCTCCTGATCTCTTTTAGACATCTTCGTATTAGTAGGCGTATGGCTCATGCGTATTGATGGTGGCGTAGATAGAGGGGACTCGTCATTCAGAGTCGGAGGAGTTGCGAAGGTGTCGTCAGAGCTGAGAGAAACGGGATCCGGTGTCGAGGACAGCCAGGCTGCGATGCGCAGTTTCTTGGACAGCGGGAGATTTCCTTGGTTATTGCTTGTCGTCGGAGTATATGAATCTTCGTCGCGAGGGCGTTTCAGGGAGTGGGACATTGGTTGTTGGTTGGTGCTAAACGGGAAGATGGGAACTTTTTTTTCTTTAGGGGCGATAAGTCAGTGACTGATAAGCTTATCGCCAACGACAGGCCGTTTAGACTTGGTTTAGCTACCTTTGGAAGGAAGAGTGTATTGAATCCCAGTGAATAGCATTACTGCTGGGTTGAATTATCGCTAATAATACATGGCTAATATTACAAAAATGAACAGGACACACAAGCCCATAGCATTATCGTTCAAAATCAACGACTGCGACTCCGTCTTCGACTCCTGCTCCTCCTCCGACTAAAGCTGCGTCGACGGCTGCGACTGCGACTTCTCCTACGAGCAGGACTGGGAGTACGCCGCCGAGGCCGACGATCATCCGGCGCATCGGCTCTAGGCCGTTCAGCGGCCGGTTCGTCGCGCTCGCCTTCCTTTTTGCGCTCGGAGACAGGGATGTACCGATCGATATCGCCCATTCTGGACCGGTCAGCTGCTGCGGGATCCGGGGACCGTGGGCGGCGGCGTGGTGATCTGCTGCGGTTGCTTGTAGAGGGGACGTAGCGGTCGATGTCGAGGCCTGGGGGAGAAGGTCTGCGAGAGCGAGACCGGCGACGGGAGCGGGAGCGCCGTCGAGCGGATCGAGAGCGGGACCTGGGGCGCTCGCGGGCGCGTTGTCTCGAGGGGGACCGCGTGCGTGAACGTCGCCGCGGTCGTGGAGTTGTATTACCGGGTCGTGAGGGAGACCGGGAGTAACGGCTGCGTCGAGGGCGATCTCTTTCTCTGTCGCGACTGCGACTGCGCTCACGGTGTCGTCGGTCATAATCCCTGACCGGGTCCCTGGATCGTGGTCGTTCGCGCCGTTCTGGGCTGCGATCACGTCCCCGGACAGTCGACCTGCTGCGGCTGCGGCGACTGGGCCTGTAGCTTCGATCCTCGTCGCGAAAGTCGCGGTATCCACGTCGTTCGTCCATGTCACGATCCCGAGAGTCTCTGGACCGATCATGGCGGCGATCCGCCTCATAACGAGATGCAAATGGACGACGAGAGCGACTGCGGCTTCGATCTCGTGTACGATGACGCGGACGTTCAGTGCGATCTGCATTTGAATCGTGCCGTCTGTCGGGGTCTCGAGCCGGGGTGCCAGCCTTGTTGGGGGTATTGGAGTGTCTTGTTTCAGTAGCGCTCTTGGACTGCGCCGTCGCCGGCTTGAGTCCATTTTCAATAGCCTCGGCCTCTTCAAAGTCGAACTCGGGCTTCTGCCGCGCCTTGGCCGCAAGCTCCTCGCCTTCTTTAAGCAACATCTGCAGAGCAGCTTCCTCCAATGATTTCTCATCCACCGGAGCAGGTGGTGGGGGTGCAGGGGTTGGATCTTTTGATGTTGAGGACGATTCTTTCTTTGTTGCATCCCGGGGGTGAGGCGATACTCCACGGTCAGCTCGGTATGCCGGCGAACGGTCACGGTACCGGTGACGGTCTCTGCTTCGACTGCGATCCTGGTCTCGATCCCAATGATATCGGTCACGGTCCTCCCGTCTTCGTCGCTCATATCGCTCCTGCCGCTCTCGTTCTCGCTGCTCATCACGCTCCCGCTCTTCAGCCCGTCTCTTTTCTTCCACCTCTTTGCGCCTGGCCCTTTCCTCTTCCTCTTTCTGCCGCTCCATTTCACGTTTCTTGCGGAGCTCCTCTGCTTTGATCCGCTTCTGTTCCTCTTCCATCTCCTTTTGCTTGCGCATCTCCTCGCGCCAGACTTTCTCCCGTTCCTCGCGTTTCGCCTTGATATAGATATCATAATCTTCGTCGGTTTTGTTGCCCGACTGTTCCTCGCGCGAAGCTACTTCATCGCCCACATCCTGGCGGCGGATTTCTCGGACGGAGTCGAGGATGAATTCGAGGTGGTTCGCGGCAAGCTTGTCGATCGAGTTCTCCACGTTCTTATAGACATCCCCACGGTCTACGGCACCTTCAATAAGGGTCGCGGCTTTTCCTCTCTCGCGAGACAGTAGCGCTGGTTCGCGGTCAATCTCGGACTCGGCTAGCGCAATCAACTGGTCGGTAAACTTGGTTTTGGAGTCCTGCATGGAATGTATGAGCAATGTCTGCGATCACCCGGCAAAAGGGAAACATACCCCTTCATTAAATTCGGCCCAGATCTTCTTGCGCACGCTATCAAAGCCACCTTTCTTCTTGAACGAGTGCAAGAGTTTGTCAATGGCAGCTTGCTGGGCCCCGGACAATGGTAAGTCGTCCGCCTTGAACTTCTTGTGCTTGACACTGTCAATGTCCACCGAGGACCGCTTCTTATTCTCGGCTTGGACATCCTCCATGTCCTCGTCGGTAGCCATTATGGGTGACGCGCGTGAAAGCAAGAAAGAAGGGTCGCGTGAAAGCAAAGGATCAATGATAAGCGATAGGAAGGGACCCGGGACTAACGTTATTCCGGCCCTGGTCGCTGCCGCTGGCTGATTTGACTTCACAACTCGTTCTCCTGCACTAGACGGACCACCTCCTCCTTCAATCCACCAGTTCGACCCCAATCCCGGTCACTGCGGTGTGATATCACTAAACCACCTCACTGCTCCGCCTTCCACGCTTGTCGGATTCCCGCCGACCCCTGAATTTCCCTCATCCGCACACGTCCGGGCGACCGCGACCATGGTCCACAAAGTGCTCTTCTGGAGCGGCTTCGGTATGTGACTTGTTATTGGGTTTCTATTGATTGTCTATAAGGATGCTCTATAATTATGCATGAGCTAACACCATCAATCTCTGAAGGCATCGCCGTCCGCCTTTGGCAACTCGGCATCGAGATGCGTCCCATGTTCCAAAAGGAGGCCCTCTGGGCCTACCCCCTCTTCGCTGGTGTGGGTGGCAGTTTCGGTTACTGGCTCCAGGGTGTTGAGCAAAGGCAGTTGAAGATGCTCGCGCAGCGACGAGAGGCTATTCTGGAGAAGCGTCGACGGAGAGATCAGCAAGAGGGCTCTCCGGCCGAGGCGGGCGCTCTTCTGGCTGCGACGTCATAAAATGGAGCCCAGGAACAGGGGAAGAGAATGTTGCATTGTGTTTCTAGTTTCTTTTGTATCAAAATTCAAGTGGTTTGATATCACCATTTATGGCCGACAGTGCTCTGTGATATGAGGTGGGATATCATGTAGAAATGCTCAATTGATGTAAATGCAGGAGTGGACATGCTATGCCATGTATGTACTCTATGTGCGCTCCACGGTAAACTGCAGGGAAACTTCCCATTTCTGGCCTCCGCCGCCATATCCTCCACCCAGGCGGTTTCGAATCAAACTAGAGATCTTCTCACGAAGCCGGACCAGATTCTCATCGGAGCCAGCAACCCGAAGCTTGAGATTCGCCATGCACAACCCATAATGCACCTGCCAGAACCGGACATCGTCAATGCCAAATACAGAAGGGTCTGCTTCGATGTCTTTGATGACCTCCGACACGCCCTGGCCAGAGTAGGACATGAGAAGCATGGACCCAAGCGTTTTCACCAAGCGCGTTCCCAAAACGCACATCGAGATGGCAATGGTCCCAGAAAGTAGCTTGTCCAACCAATCATATATGCGAATGGACACCAACGGGAGCAGGAGAAGAAGTGTTGAGCAAGAGAGGGTGAGGAAGTGAGAGGGGTTGCTCAGCACGGACGGAAGAGACTCAATGTATGCAAAGCGCATCGCTTTTCCAATGCGCGCATGGTTCTTCAGTCCCATTGCCGAGACTAAAGTCGACGAGATGGCAAGAACGGCGGTGATGTCCACGCTACCCAAGGAAACTCGGTCATGCTCGTGCGAGTGGTGTGGCTCGTGGCCCGACTTCTCCAGCAGATGCTGCAGATTATGGGATATCAAGTCGAGACCCATGAAGAGGAGGAGCACGCACATGGCGAACCCAGCCAGGACTTCGGCGCGTTCCAGGCCAAATGGGTGTCGCACGCTGGATCGCTTCCACACTTCAAAGTTGCTCAGGACATCCACAACTACACACAGCAGAGCTCCTAGCGAATCAAATAGAATCAAATGCGACAGCGCAGTCATCGCAAGTGACCCGTGTGCGGTCCACAGGGTGTATGCCGCGACGAACATGTGGCATACACTCCACCAAAACCGGGTCTTCTGGTCCTTGGACATGCTGATTCGGTATTCCTTGAGTGTGGGGATGGGGAGCGAGTTCGGTAAAGCGAGGGGCGCGCGAGGGGGAGGCTCCATGAAGATCTGGTGAGAGATGCTACTGTGTTTATACTTGTGGCCACGCCGCTGTCCAATGTTTTGCTGTTCCGCCCGTCAGTAACAGCCATAGCAAAATGAAGTCTGATCCATACCGATTTCGGGACTGGGCCTTTCGCCATAACTGTCGTACTGAAATTGAAGGGGCCCGTCTGGTCGCTGTCGCTCGCGCCATTCTCAGGAGTCTGATTGAAGGAAGGCACCGTAGGGCTGACATGGTCTTTCGTCGCAGTCTCTAGCGAGGCACTTTTTGGAAAGGTGTCGACCAATGGCGATAGGGCATCCCGGTCCAGGGCCTGAAAGGCATGTTGATTCGGAGCATCGTCGACGGCCGAGGGCGGAGTTGGAGTGCGCGGTGGCAGAGGGATTGGCATGTTGGAAGCCATCACGGGGGGAATGCGAGCGAAAGCGCCCGCGCCGTAAGACACCTCAGACTGAGGGAAAGTGGAAGGGGAAAAGAGAGAGAGAGAGAGGTAGAGTGCGTGTGTTTGTAAGTGAAGATGGATAGGAAGAGGTGGTTATCATGGATAGTTGCCTCAGGTGTCAATATGGCCAGCGGAAGGGGCGGGGCCCAGAGTGTCGACTCGTGCACATCATCATCAGCACTTTCCTCTTCGACCTCGTCATTCACTTATTTCTTCACTTACTTCCTTCCCTACTTGGATTTCTTTCTTCTATTTCTTTTTCCACGCCATGCTCATCCTCTCCTCCCTCTCTCCCACCGCTTAATGCCCGGCACCTTGTGGCATCATTGATGGATAACCGCGGGTCCTTCTTCTTCTTCCTGTTCGTCTTCTACTTGCTCCTGAGCTCTCAGTCGCGCCCTCCCTTGATTGATGAGGACCGAGAGCGCCAGCGCGAGCTCGATCGCGAGCGCCATGCGCTGCGTCTGCTGAACGAGTCGACATATGGGGACTTTGATCCGCTGGCGGATCGATGGCTTCCATTTGAAGGAGTCAGGAAGAACGACAGTTATGCCTGGGATATTTTTCCGCATGTGCAGGATCGCGCGCGCGAGCAGCTGCGCTCTGCCCTCTCGAATGCCGGACTGGAGCCCCCAATAGACGTGGCCGGCGAGTCCCCCGATGCCCCCTAAACCTGTCCCGGCTTCTGGTCCCGGTATATCGCAACGCGACGGGGAAGCTGCGCGGGGACTGGGTACGGCGGACACAGGATGCAACTCGCCATGGTTCTCTCAATACGACTGCCATCGCGCTCGAGCACGAGTATTTTACCCATGAGTTCGGTTCGAACATCACCGGGAATCATGGCACCTTCTACTTCACTTTGGAGGAGTCCGGGGAAGAAGAGCTTCGAATCGGCAGTGGCGTTGCCCGAGAAATCCGAGCAAACCTAGCCGTTGAAAGCGACGACTTCTGGGGAAACACCAGGTACATGTCGCTCTTTGGTGTGCATTTCCCGGAGACTGGAGGAATCATGTTGAGCACTTCAAGTGAAAAGTTCGGCGGGGTCTTCTCATTGCCGCATTTCGCGCTTTCCCCAGACACCTATGAGCTGTCTCACCGACTCCTGCTCAAGTCGCTTTCGGATACCGTATCCGAAAAGCAGAATCGTCCCGCGACTCTGTTTCCCTGGTCTTCTCTGGCTGGAACTGAGCAGGTCGAGTTTCCTGCGCCAAGATGTGAGCATATAATCTATATGCAGCAACACCCCGTCCTGGTTGGTGACGATGTTGCAGACCGTCCGCTGCTCGAGCAAATGGAGCGTGAGCTGCGCTACCCAATGGGAGCACCCATTCCGCATCCTCCTCTCATGGTCATGTCGGCCATTGTCTTCTCGCCAGATTGCGGCTATATACTCGAGACAAAGGGGGCACCGGAATTTCCTCCTTCGGAAACATTGTATCTGACCGGGCCGAAACATGAGGAGTACAGTAAATATGCGGCTCGTCTCATTTTCGTGGTCTCTGCTGTGTTTGTTGGACAAATCACTCTTCTTTTGCGCCAGATTAAGGAAGCCTCCACTCCGTCCACGCGGAGCCGTGTCAGCTTCTATACCATTGCCTTGATGGCGTTGGGAGATGCTTTTGTTCTCATCTTCATCGTCCTGGAGCTTTATGCAGCAGTCTCCTTCTTGGTTCTGGCGACTGCGTCCTTTTTGGCTTTTCTTTCCGTCAGCTACATCGGGATGAGGTTCATGATGGAGATATGGGCGGTACAGGAGCCGGAGAGACGCGAGTCGGAGCGTCCGGTGATCCCGCCTCCACCAGCTGTACGTCCTGGAACACTGCCATTGCCTGTAACGGCCCCAGACAGGCCTCCTACCCCCATTATTATAGCACCCGATCAAGATCCCCCTGCCGAAGAACTGGATCCGTCACCGCCGCCGCCTACCCCCGCTCGCCCGGCTGCCCCGGGTCCAAGACAAATGCGGGCCGACGTGGGCGCCATGTACGCGCGGTTTTATTTTGCATTGTTTGGCATGCTGATCCTATCCTTCTGGGCCTTTCTCTTGCCAAGACGACTTGGGTCGATGTATGTACGCCTGTTGGCGTCGGTCTATCTCTCCTTCTGGGTGCCACAGATCCATCGAAATGTCATGCGAAACTGCCGCAAAGCACTCCGGTGGGATTTCGTGATCGGCCAGAGTATTCTACGGCTTTTCCCGTTCTTGTACTTCCTCACAGCCCGTGGAAACGTGTTGTTCATCCGGCCCGACTGGACCACCGCTTTCACCATGACAGGTTGGATGTGGATACAGGCTTGGGTTTTGGCTAGCCAGGATATTCTAGGTCCGCGCTTTTTCGTTCCCCGTGGGTGGGCTCCGCCGGCATACGATTACCACCCCACGCTGCGCGACACGACTGGTGCGGACGAGGACCTTGAGGCGGGCGGTGGTGGTGAGACTCTGTCCATCACGTCCCTCCGGGCTGATGAACGGGATTTGGTCAGTGACTTCAAGGATGATGACAAGCTGCGGCCCCGCGACCGGAAGAAGGCCATGTTCGACTGTGCCATCTGCATGCAGGATATCGAGGTCCCTGTCCTCCCGGCGCTTTCAGCTGGTGCTGGCAGTAGCGTCACCGATGGAGCTACCAGTATTCTCAGCCGTCGCACTTACATGGTGACACCCTGTCGGCATATCTTCCACACGGCCTGTCTTGAAAGCTGGATGCGACTTCGTTTGCAGTGTCCCATTTGTCGGGAATCCATTCCTCCTGTATAACTCATGTCGTATATGTATATTCATGTACATAGATCTCGAATTGATGTTTTTATGGTGGACGTGGAGTCAACTACATGTAGAGAGTGGCTACTGGACGGAGAACAAAGGTATAAGATCAAGCATCCTGTTGAACGGGAAAGCCTAGCCACATCGGACTCGACCCTAGTCTAAATCACTTTCGTTGAAGGAAAAACGTCCGTCTCTGTTGGGACATACACCAATAGTATAACACAATCCAAATCACGCATCCCCCGACTCTCGGTCACACACGCAGCTATACCCAGCTATTCCTTACTCCTCAATAGACTCCTTATAAGCAGCCTCATCCAACAACCCCTCCAGCTCCGAAGCATTGCTAACCTCAATTTCCGCAATCCAGCCCTCTCCCTCGGGGCTGGCGTTGATGGTCTTGGCCGCGTCCTCCAGGACACTGTTACCCTTGATCACCTTGCCGGAGACGGGCGAGAGCACGTCAGACGCAGACTTGACGGACTCAACGGCGCCGACAGGGTCGCCAGCGCTGACCTCGTTGCCGGCTTCGGGAAGCTCAACGTAGACGACGTCGCCGAGCGAGTGGGCGGCGTACTCAGTGATGCCGATTTTGGCTGGATGTTTCGTTTCGGGTCAGTACAATCAATACAACACAGCAAGGATATTGAACTGCTAGACTAGATGGACGTCTGGCTGTCCTGCGGACTTGAATTGAATTGAATCACTTACCAGTCTTGCCGCCGTCAGCGAGTTCGATCCATTCGTGCGACTCGGTATACTTCTTCAGCTGAGCTGTACCACAACGGATGCTATTAGCGAACCAATTGATCCTCTTGACGACCGCAATGCATCCGATACTGCAATTGCAGCTTTGGATTCTTCATGCGACTGCGCTGGCCAGCTTGGGAGGGCATGTACTCACCCAGAGGGCTTTGCGAGAAACTCCTCGCGCTTCCCCGCGGGAAACGGAAGGCAGGCACGGCGCGGCAGAGGGGAGTTTGAGGCTGGGCAAGCAGCCGCGAGGCGAAGGGACGGACAGCACGAGCAACAGACATTTTAGGAAAGTCGGAGGGAATTTGTGTGGGGGAGAAAGAGGTAAAGAAAAGAAAAGAGGTGGAAGAGGGGAGAGTGATGGAGCAGGTCGGAAAGCCAGTGCTGCTGCTGCTGGTTCTCCGGCGGAGTTGATAAGCACTTGAGGTCACGGGCTGATAAGGTCAGGGCCGGAAGGAAGGGAAGGATTTTCCGGCCCCTTGACTTTGGAGTTAGTTCATCATCATTGACAACACACCAACCACTCGATGCAATGTTGTATGAGTTGATTGCCATTGTATGTTGCGGTCGGATGATTCGATACTGAGGGAACCAACTAACACCTCTGTGCAGGTCCGTCCGGGCAGCATCAACGAGGTGCGAGAGTACGTTTCTCCCGACAGCAAACAGCACACATCCATCTCCCACCTCTGCGTCAATTGCGTCAAGAACTCTCAAAACGCTAACAACACTTAAACAGAATCGCCCGCAATGCCGGCGCCCAGGTAATCCGCTCCGGCGGCGTTGTCCGCGGCTACACGAACTGGGGCACCTTCCGCCTACCAAAGCCGACGACGCGCCACCAAGCCCGCTACACGGACGGCCACCACTTCATCATGCGCTTTGATGCCTCGGGGCCCGTTCAATCGTCTGTCCGTCGCACGCTCGGACTCGACCCGCGCATGATCAATTTCTCCGTCGTGAAGCTGGGTGACAAGCTGGAGGAGATCAAGGATGTGGAGGGCAAGGTGGAGTGGAATAATCATCGCAGTATCATGGATCTGATTCCTCCTTCCTCTTAGTTGGGGTTGGTGTTTGGGAAGGGTTTGATTATTGTGGATTGGGGTTATATGTGGACTCGACATGGCCAGCATCTCTGTCTTTTATTTCTGTATCATCATCGCATGGGGAATCGGGGCTTCTCCTGCGCTCTGCACGACCGGCGCATTACTGTGTATAATTTGCAATCGGATTGATTTTTCCTTTGGGTATGCTGTATCTATACTATACCATCGTCATGTCATAGGTATTGGGTTCCTCATACCACATCAGTTAAGAACATGTACAATCGGATTCTAGGCCGCGCTCCATGGGTTTCCCTTTCCTGTCTTCCTGTTAGCTTAGCCTCTGCATGGCCGGGACCCGGTCCTAAGGTTGAGGACCAAACCCAGACCTCGAGGTCTTTCGGTCTCAAAATGATAGGCTAGGACCGCACCACGGTCCCCCGCGGTCCCTGCACCGCAAGCGCATAATTTTGCCAATGATAATTCATCTTTTATACTGTCATTAAACACTGTTTTGGTATTTGATTTAATATTTATAGTAATTTAGCACTACGTAGAGTCGCATGATGAGAATCGCCAAGATTTCCCCCTAAAATGTCGCGTCTAGCCGCTCTTTATCCACGATATCATCTGTTTAGTCTTTGCTATTTCCGGTCAAGGCTGATAATCCTGAGGATAAATCACTAGATGGCAGGCTTACGATAGGGCACATTTCTCGTAACCAATAATGATCTACCACGAGGAACAAACAACATGCATGTATATATACCCAAGGACTTGGTTTCATCCAACGGGAGAGTGAGGCTGAAGGCAGTTCAAGCCCAATACCATTCCCAGTCATCTTGCTGGGCGGCACCATCCTGACTCGCTTTTCAATCCCCTTCTTTTCATTCCCTATAAATATTCTCTCCTCTCCTCCTCCTCGCTCTGTTATTTCTCATTCAATCCGTTGTTTCCGACATAATAACCCACCATAGTATCGTTACCACCACACTGACCCTTTTCGAATATTCGCCATGGTTGTCTTCATCTCCCTCCCCTCAGACGAGGAAATTGAGGCCTTTGAGAAAATAGTTCTCCAGCAAAGCTATCATTCTACCAACCGGGTTCTGACTCGCGAGGCTCTCCAAGGCTGTAGTCCATTCAACCCCAGCGGCAATAAGATCCTCGCCCTGGCTGGCGACGCGATTCTCCGCCAAGTTCTCGTCGACCAGGGCCGAGACAGAGAAAAGTCTCCAGGTAGGAAACCCCCCTTGTCAATTACTATTTTGCACGTGTGCTAACCATTGCTACCGTTACCAGAAGAGATCCAGAACGTCATCACCCAGGTGGCCTCTAATAACAACCTAAACGACCGTGGCATTGCCCTAGGACTTGACCCCTTCATCGTGAAGAACCCGGGCCAGTGGGGCCTTGTGGCTGGGAAAAATGTTATGGCTACCACCATGGAAGCCATAATTGGCGCAGTCCACTATGACTCCAACAAGAATCGCGATGCTTGCGAAAAGGTTATGGCTGCCCTCGGCCTCGCCTTTCCTGAGTGATCCATCGCGGTCCTTCAATGGTACTTCCTTGTCATGGGAACATAGGGAAGCCTCGACGAGGGAACAGGAGCCAACCTTTGTAGGGCTGGACCTTTTTCATTCAGCAGTGAAGTGGCCTTTGAAGTGACTTGCATGTCACAGCACTATTGAATGAGCCTTGTCAACTCTGCAATGGATCCTCCTTATCCCCACATCGAGACCTGAGTGCTCACTGAGCATCCCTGAGCATTACTTGAATATTAACTATACATTCACTGAGCGTTCAATGAGTAACTAATTACCTTGTGCTGTGAAATACTCAGTGAGCAGGACCCTGAGAGCCCTCATAAAGCTGCGGCACCCCAGTCGGGCAAGTCGCGGCCGCGGCCTAAAGTATAGTACATACAGTGCCATGATATAACTGCATAATCTATCTCCCCTGCCGTATCGACCTAAATTACAGCTATAAATCCCAATCTTCTATTCAACAATTCTTATACTCCGGCATGTAAGTCGACTGAGTCAGTCACGGGATGTGGATCAGCCGAGGTTCCCCAGTTTCCCCGACGGAAGTAGGAAACACCAACCTTTCCTTCCTCTCCCTCCCACTCCTGAAGACCTGCCCGGTCAACCTCAATCTCTGGCCGTCGACATACCGGCCAGCCAGCCAGCCAGATTCCACACCATGTTCCCAAAACACATGGCCCCAAAGTCCCCCTCCGCCGGCTCGGACATCCCACCATCCCCGCGTTCATGGGTGGAGCTGATGGCCCTGGAGCGTCTCCCCGACGCGGAGACCACAGTGCCGGGCGCCAGCTCGCCAGAAAGGGTTGAGCTGTTCCGCTCGCTCGCGTCACCATTTCCTCCTGGCGAGGGCACGCGCTCTTTTGGCGGCCATGTCTACGCGCAGTCGGCATATGCGGCGTCGAAGACGGTGGGCAAGGGGTTTATGGTCCACGTTCGTCTTTCCTTCTGTTGTATCCACCTGATTGGTTCCATTTTACTCACTTTCTGTTATGTGTCTGCAGGATATGACCGGATCATTTATATTAGCCGGCCGCCTAGACGTGCCGTACATCTACACCGTGCGACACATCCGCGACGGAAAGATGTACTGCACGCGCTCTGTGGACGCACGTCAAAACGGCAAGATCTGTTTCTCGGGTCTCTGCTCCTTCAAGCGCGACGAGAAGCAGCAAACATTCGAACACCAGCCGCAGACCGCGCAGCAGCGGTTTGCGCCGATTCTCAATGCAAAGCGCGCAGAGGAGCAGCCGTTCAGTCCTAGCGTGGACGCGGATTGGTGGATCGATGCCGTGAGCCAGGGGAATATTGTCGAGCGCGAGTTCCCGGGTCTTGATGTCCGGAAGGTGGATATGGAAAACTACAATTCCTCCCCGGAGGTCAAGGAGCATCCGGAGAAGTACCGGCAGCTGACGCAGTACCGGATGAAGGGGTCCCCTGATTTAGACCCGCGTGCGACAATTTCACAGATCCGGGAACGAGAGGCAGAGGGCGAGTACGATAACCTGTACGCCTGCGCACATATGTACGCCAGCGACAAGAACTCGCTGCTCCTCATCCCGCGCGCGCTGGGAATCAAGCACTTCAGCGAGATGGCGAGTCTGACTCTCACGGTGATTGTGCATCATCATGGACCGGCGCTCCGGATGGTAGATTGGGATGCTGTTGACAAGGACAGCGGCAAGGTTGATCCGCTGAATCTGCCGATGAAATGGTTCGTCCAGGAGAACTGGACTCCACGGTCTGCGGAGAATAGGGCCGTACATGAGAGTTATCTGTGGAGTCCTGATGGGACGTTGCTGGCGACCACTTTGCAGGATAGTATGCTGCGGCTGCGGCAACTTGATCGGCTGTGATCCAATACGGACTTGTATATACCAAAGATAGACCAGGACATATTGATAAAGATGGGCGTACCTTTCCCCTTTTGCCTCTTGATGTTACTTGGTTTATCAGCATCTCTTTGTAGTTCAATCTGCCTCAGCGACAGTAAGCTAGATATTCTCATTTGGACATGATGGATCTACCTATCGATCTTGAAAAAAAAAACCCCCATCACCAACACGACAAGCGTTAGTCCATACGGCAACGTTAAAATTTCATCAGTCTAGAAGGAAAGGATGGAAAAATGCAAATTGGTATATGACAGACGAAAAGAAACAGCAGCAGATAGAACAGGTTGCCAGGACCAGGCGGTTCAAAACAAGGAAATTCGTCACGGCATAATAAGGGTTATACGAAAGATAAATACTCTTTGGAAGGAGAAAGAAAGAAAATGCAAGGCTAGAGATTTTCAAAAACCGAGAAAGACCATGGCCATGGTGTAATGAGCCCATGAAGAAAGAGAAAGATTTGAGTAGAGGAAAATGAGCAATATCAAACACGGAGTGGAAAATGGGGAGCCTAAGAAAAGACAGAATGAAGAAATAAAGCAAGTTTGATACAGCACAAGAATTGTGTACTGGAATGGATGATGGATAAATAAAGACACAGAGACAAAGATCAAAACAAAGACACAAAGCTAAAGGCAAGAGAAGGGAATGGCGCTTTTGTGGTTGGTTTTGGGGGGAGATGGAAAAGCCCAAGCTTGTCCGAGGCGAGGGAAAAGAAACAAACACAAGAAGAGAAAAACAACAGGAAAAAGAAGCAAACAAAGGTGGACTTTGGAGGGGGTATTCGGTGCAGTGCACAACACACAAATTGCATTTCAGACACAAAGCAGTTTGGTCGCTTGAAAATCCACTTCAGAAGGGGCGCAATTTTTGAAACGAATCACACAGAAACAAAGAATTGGAGAGAAGCCTGAACCGGCAGCTGGTAAACTTAAAAACGGCGGTGGAGTCTTTCGTGGCCCAGCACGATTGCAACTTCTCTCTCCCGACTAGCGGTGGATGGATACACAGTCTACGCCTGGTAGCCTGCGTTGAAGTTGTTATTGTTCGACTGGTCCCAGTTGCCCGTGGGAGACATGGGCTGGCCACGGCCATAGCCGCCGCCCTGGCCATAGGCCTGGTTAGGCATACCGGGACCGCCGAAGTTGTTGCCTTGCTGGTCCCAGCCTCGGCCAGCAGGGGCCGGACCTGCTTGATTGTTAGTGTTTTGAAACCGGCAATCGACAGGAGTGACATACCTTGGTTCATGGGATTAGCAGGGCCACCGTACTGGGGGAAAAAGCCAGCTGGCTGCTGGTTGCTGAAGGCCGGGGAACCACCCTGCTGCGGAGAGAAGTTGTCGAATTGGCCGGTAGGAGGACGGTCCTTGCCCCACTATTGTCTGTTAGCAAAGGCTCCCTCTCTGCAAGTTACGAAGAGCAACATACGCTGCACTTCAACGGACGACCGTTGACGTTGTAGCCGTTGAGCTGGCAGATGGCCATGGCTGCGTTCTCGTGCGAGTCCATCTTGACAAAGGCGAAGCCCCGGTCTGCTTGAAGACGGGTCTCAATAACATAACCGAAGTTCTGGAACAGCGGCACCATGTCGTTCTGGGTCGTGTACGGGGTCAGGTTGCCGACGTAGCAAGTAGTCTGCCATTGCGGAGTCTGCTGCACAACCATGTCGTAGCTCTGCACCCCGTGGGTGGGGAAGTGGTGGTGACCGAACGGGGTGGTGGGCGTCATGCCCATGGCGGCCATCGCCTGCTGCTGCGAGATCGAGGGCTGCCCCTTCTGGTTGGCCCAGTTGCAACGAATGGCCCGAGAACCCAGCCATTCACCGTCCATCGAGTTGAGCGCCTTGTCAGCGTCCTGGCGCTCCCGGAACGCGACAAAGCCGTACCCGCGCGAGCGTCCAGTCTTCATATCCCACATGACACGGGCTTCAGACACCGATCCAAAGGCAGAGAAGGCCTGGAGCAAAATCTCATCGTTCACCTCATTGCTCAGGTCACCGACGAAAATGTGGAAGTGGCCCGAGGTGTCTTCCTTATTGGTACTGTTGGACAGGTACGCCCAGTTGACACGGATTTCCTGAAACAAGCCCCTTTCGTTAGAGCGGAAAATATGAGGTGATCGTTCCAACTCACCGACTGGTGGATCCGACGCCCATTAAGTGTCTGCATCGCTCGCTCGGCCGCGCCTGGGTCGTCGAATTCGACGAACCCGTAGTTGTAACCCTTGCTGTTGAACTGCAACACCATCAGCCTCAAAAGACGTCCAGAGTAGCGGTAAGCGCCGACTCAGGGGTTGGTTGGGGTGGTTCCTTACACTCACATTCTTGTCCGGGATGATCTTCACGCTGACGACATGACCGGTGGTCTCGAAGATCTGCTTGAGGATATCTTCCGTGACCCGCGGATCCAATCCGCCCACATAGAGGGCCCTCTTGTTGGGCTCCGGGGCAGCACGGCGCACAAACCCACCGCTCGTCGGGGACATCATCCCGCTTGACATGGGCGAGCCCATCGCCGTGGGAATCGGGTTGGTATTCTGCGGGATGACGACGGGAGGTCGCGGCGGAGGAGGCATGTGGGATGGATTGGCCTGGCCATTGGTCTGGCCCGCATCGTACTGCTGGTTTTGAGCACCTGCAGAGGTCTGGGGAGCAGATGGCAGAGCCGAGGCAGTCTGAGAAGCAACGTTTTCGGCCATGGTGGGCGGTGGGGGGAGTATATCGATATAGGGGGAAGACGATCGAGCTGGTCAGATGGAAAGGTGGTCAATTTTTAAAGCTTCCGATCTGGCAATGTCAGGAGCTTCAAAGAGATGCAGAGGACCACAGTCGGGCAGTGAGGCCTATAGGGAGCAGTTGTATAGACGAGCGTGGGTCCAATCAACAGGATACGCTGGACGGTTGGGTGAAACCAAGAAACACGCGGTCAAAAGCGCTGGACTAAGCACGGCGGAATCTGTGACACCCCTGACGAATGGAGGGAGGAGCTGGAGTGGGCTTCACACGAAATGTCGCAGTTTGGGCGGAAATGGGCACGCGCTGGAAATGATGCTGAAAGCGCCCGGATGGATCGAGGTGTGGAAGCAAACAAAGAGAGCCAAGGAAACACCCAGGAAACCAACACAGGGTTGGGGGAGGAAACAGGGAAAAGCACGAGGCGGACAGAGAGAAGAGAGAAAAGGAAACAACTGAACAGAGCTCAACAGCAAGAAGTGCAGAAGAAATCGAGACAGCGAAGACCGAAGGAAGAGAGAGAGAAAGGAAGAAAGAAGAAGAAGGGAGACGGAGCCGCTAGGGGTGGGGGGGTGCGCTAGGCCTGCCGGGGTTTAGTGCCGCCGACTGGGAGTTCGTACAACTTCGCCTTCACCACTGACCTGACGGACGGAGACACCCACCATGGCGGCCCCGAACTACGCCAATCCAGACTCTCTCACGGAGCTCTCGACAATGCTCGAGCGTACGGTCAGTATGGCCTAACGGGCACCGTCGACAAACCCACTGACCGTCCCCAGCTCATCGACACCGGGCGCCTCTTCAGGAAGCCAGCTTCCATGCCCTCCAAGACCACGCTGCAGCGGTCCATCCCCGCCTACTACGAGAGTTTCCAAGAGGCCCTGGACAACCTCTCGGAGCAGATTGTAAGCATGATCTATTATTGAAGGCGATCGGCCGATTATTCCTGGACTTGCTTTTTGATGAGTGCTGACCTCACGCAGTTCATGGCAAAAGCATTTCTGGAGAAAGATTACGAGGCCATCAAGGCCCAAACGGCACCCCAGCCCGTGGAAGATGTGGTCATGGGCGATGCCGAGCCCAGCAAGGTCAAGCTAGAGGCGGAGAAGGCCCCGGTCGACGACCACCCGGTCGAACCCAAGATAGAGGAGCAGCCAGCAGTAGCACCGACCATTCCAGAGACTCACGCCGACACGCCCATTAAAGAGGAAAAAGAAGCGGAACCCGTTCCGGGAGAGATCGACTTTGATTCCGTGCTTAATGACAACGCGGGTGGCCCCAATGACTTTGATCTAAATCTGGATTTCGGGGATGATGCGCTGGGGAATCAAGCTTTCCTCTCGGGATCGACATTCGACAAGGCGAAACCACCCGATGGTGGTGGTGGGGGGGAGTCTTTGACCTGGAGCTGCAGAAGGACGGGGATCCGGAGATCATGGGCGAGTCGAGCTTTGATGACCTGTTCCTTGAAACGGACCAGCTCGGGGAGGGCGATCTTGGGCAGTTAGAGGGGGATAGCCTAATGAACCTGAACGAGCTGGACGATAATTGGTTTACGTGAGGTGGTGGCACACTGGCGGTGGGGGGGCCACAGCAGGATTCTAGAGCGAGGGTCGATGTCCCTGATGAGGTCATGGCCAGCGGTCGCCTCGTGCCTGGTCGGGACTGGGTTCCGCGGGAGGCAGCGGAGTGATGTGCCTACGACCACTACTAGAGACTAGACACCTAGGCCGAGTGAAGCAGGATAGCCTCCACTGTGCACGACCATCCGATCATATATAGATGTCTCTTGATCTCACCGTCTCTCGGTCTAGTGGGGGCCAACTTCCACCTTATTTGGCTCGGATCGCCGGATAGTCACTCTCACCCGTGGCTCCCGCGGTTCATGGCATCATCGACGCCCCTAAAATAATCCCGACACCAACGCACTACGATCTTCATCCTCTCTCCCACACCCCGCCCAGCAAGGATCGGCACGTCGATCTGGAAGTGATGAAATCAGCCCTTCCGTCCTGCCATCTAACTATCTGCCCTTCTGCAACTCCCGCTGCTCCTTGCGTATGACCGTCGATCTCCGCTACATCGCAGCGACACAAGGGGCTCCAAACATTTAGCTGAAGGTCTCACAACGTGTCTTACCTGGCTGGGGATTCAAAAAGTAAGTCCTAGCTAGTATCATCGCTCTTGTGTCGCCGCCCCTTTCCCCTACGCCCTTCCGATGCCACACGACCGACCCTGGTGTCGGCCAGCCATTCTTGCTTCTGCCCTTCCCTCGCGATCTATACTCCTCCCTCCCTCCTTTCATTCATTCATTCATTCTCCCCTACCCTGCAAGGATTTCCTCCCCGTCAAAGTGAAACGTCTCGTGGATCCCCCACGATCGGCGATGCCCTCGTGGCCCTGTTCGCGATGATGGCCGCTCACATTGCCCCCGCGCAGGTATTCTCGCACTCTGCGAATGACCCGATCCCACCGGCGCCCGACTACTTTGCGCACCCTCTGTCGTTATCGCTATCGACCCTGCTTCTTCGGACACGGTCGGCCCGACGCCGGAGTGTCTGTACCACCACCGACGTCACCGAGGAACAATTTTCCAAGGTCGGTCGACGCGGGTCGATTCTGAGGAAGCTGGCGGGCCCACGTGAGAACGCGAAGCGCTTTCTTCGCCTGCGCTCCTCTGGTATCCCATCAATCCCGACCCCGCCGCGCCTGTCACCGCGCTCGTCGCACATCAGGCCTGTCTCGGAGATCATTGTGTCTCCACGGAATGCGGAGGTAGAGCAGCCGCCCTCCCACTTAGACATGTACGCGGGAGCCACAACCGCTACCGAGGTCCTGCCCCGGGCAGTCGTCCCCGACCTCTCTCAGACATCCGGCCCCGAGTTGGTCACACCACCCTTCGCCCCGCTTCGCAACGAAAAGATTGTCGCCACGGGAAGCGGCATCACCGTTGGCATTGCCCTGACCGAACCAGTCCTGTATCTGCAGGGTTACGATCACCATGATCCCAGCACAAAAAAGTCGGCGATTCTGCGCGGCCAATTACATTTGAAGGTCTCCAAATGTGTCAAAATCAAAAAGATCTCCATCTGCTTTCGCGGACACGCCCAGACAGACTGGCCAGATGGTATCCCACCCAAGAAGATCCATTTCCATGATAAAAAAGACTTGTTCACCCATGGCGTGGTCTATTTCAACCATGGCGATACGGCATTGATGCAGAATGATTACGGCGCACATTTCTATCAACATGCGCGGCCAGTCTCGTCCATGTCTGGAAAGGAGAACGTCACGGCTACTACTCGAGAGCTGTTTTCCAAGAGCGGCTCGGCCACGAATATCAACCAGACCAGCAGAGAAGCCAAGCGTCTATCGCTGCAATTGAATCAGGGACATTCCCGCAGTTTCAGCAAGAACGAGCCTCCAACAAGCACCCAAAACCAACCGCAACGCAACTATCGAATGTTCCCGGTGGGAGACTACCTGTATAGCTTCGAGTTCCCAATCGATGGCTCCCTCCCGGAGACGATCAAGACCGATCTAGGATTCGTGCGGTATGACCTGGAGGCCAGCGTGGAGCGATCCGGCGCGTTCCGGCCCAACCTCCTGGGCACGATGGAGATTCCGGTAATCCGCACCCCAGCCGAGGGCTCGTTGGAGCAAGTGGAGCCGATTGCAATCTCGCGGAACTGGGAAGACCAGTTGCACTACGACATTGTCATTTCGGGAAAATCGTTCCCGCTGGGATCTCAAATCCCTATTGCGTTCAAGTTGACGCCATTGGCGAAAGTCGAGTGCCACCGCATTAAGGTCTATGTGACGGAGAACACCCAGCATTGGACCTCAGATAAGAGCGTCCATCGGTTCCAGCCAGCTAAGAAAGTGCTTCTTTTCGAGAAACGGGCCGATTCGGCCAGCACGAGCACCTACCCCGGAAGCTCCATGCGGGTCACCGCAGGCGGCGGAATTGAGTGGGATCGCCGTGCAGCTGCCGCGAGAGGAGAAGAGATTGTGGATCGAAACCGGACAAATCTGCTCGGAAATCTCTCGAGCGACACGGGCGTTGGTCCAACGGAGATGGAATTCAGCGTGCAGTTGCCGAGTTGTCAGGAAATGAGGGCCCGAGACGAGCCCCACCGCTTGCATTTTGATACGACTTACGAGAACATCCAGATCAATCATTGGATCAAGGTGGGTTTCGACGCCCGTTATTTTTCTGATGCGGTACTAATTATCTGTCAGATTGTGCTTCGTCTGTCCAAGATTGACGAAAAAGATCCGAGCAAGAGACGACATTTTGAGATCTCCATCGACTCCCCCTTCCATATACTCTCCTGCAAAGCAACGCAGGCTAATATCTACCTCCCGGCGTATGAGGGACCTGCGCCGGATCTGAATCCTCCGGCTCAGGAATTTGAATGTGGTTGCCCCGGTGCGCCCTTGGCAACGTCTTCTCGAGAGAGTATTGCGACGCATGCTTCCCAGGCTTCCGGGTCGGATCGCGAGGACGTCAACTCCAATCTGAGTCGCCGGGGATCCGTCGGCCGAGGCTTCTCACGAAGCTTCACGAACGGGTCGGGAGGCTTAGCCCACCCACCGCAGGCGCATTTGGCTCAGGAGCATCACGCACCCAACCCCCCGCGCCCGATGCATCTCCTCCGCGCACCCTCGTACGCCCCACCGGCTTTTGAGGATGTTCCACCGGCGCCCCCTCTCATCACTCCGCCGCCCGATTACACCTCTATCGTCGCCGACGGGGATCGCGAGGCCGCGCTGGAGGATTACTTCTCGCGGACGACATTCGAGCCAGAGCACGACGATGACCACGAAGAGCGCGGTCTCGGCCGAGTCGATGTACCTCTCACTCCCGGCGGGCGCGTGCATCGCAGCATGGACGTGCCGAGGGAGTGGGTGCGCCTCTCGGACTTTACAGTTCAGTAACTAGTACTTGTTTCTGTGCACAGGGTGTTATGGATCATGAAGCTACGACATTTTTTATTCGTCTCGGACTTGGGTGCGGGTGTGGGTATGGGATAGGGCGCATTGTTTACCAGCGGTTTGCATAGATCTGGTGGTTATTTTGAGATTTGGATGGATGTTTTTTGTGTGCACACATCATCGGGCTGCGATGTCGTCCGGTCTATATCACATCTGTTGTTGTTGATAGTATCTTTTTCATACTTCCTGCGAGGTACTTACTTTCCCAAATATCATCCTTGCCAGTTATCGATGTGTCATGAGCTCCACCACGATAAGACCTGGGCGCCTCCAACTTCCCATTCGGTCAGGACGAACCATCCCCACATTTCCGCCTCCGTGGCTCCCAGCGCTTCGTAATGGTACCTGCCAGAGCTCTTCTTTTCTTTCTTTCTTTCTTTCTTCTCCTCTTCCGTCCGTCCTTCTCTCATTTCCCCATCTTTTCCCCTGAATCCGAGATTCCCCGCTTTTTTTCTTCTTGGCTTTCGCTTCTCGCCCACACCTTATCTGGACTACACGTATCATCCCTGCAACAAACCCTCCCACACCCAACCCTCACGCCTACAGCGCCTCTGGTGCTACACTGCTTTATCATAGCTGATAGCTACTGTCGCTTCCAAGCTTCTCAACTGAGTGTTTAGCGTCAGAAGACTCTGGGTCCTGTCCGGTGTTCCTGTCAAGTCTTCGGCATTTGCAGTGCATTCTTTTTCTTTTTTCTACGCTCTGCATACACGAGTGAGGTAACGTCTCGCATACAAACTTCTTAGCTGCAACTTCCGTGTCAGCATCTGAGCTTGACCATAGCGTTATCAGCTTGTCAACATGGCGATCGAAGTCGTCCCGCTGACCGAGACGGACATCCCCGGCGTCGTCGAAGTGATTCAGCAGGCGTTTGCAGATGATCCGTACTTCAAGTGGGTATTTGATGCCCATAAGGTATTGCCCACAACCACTATTCCCCGATGATGACCAGGTAGGCTAACATGCATATCTCGTAACGCGGTCTCGTCCATGACGTCGACCCTCGTTACTCTTTTTTTCCATGACATAGTTCAACAAGCAAAGAAACTACGACTCCCTGGCAGCACGCTGCCATTGGGGCATCAAGAATGCCATGTTCCAAGTAGCCAAAGAGAAGGACACCATCCTGGGCGTATCCTGCTGGCTCGCGCCGCACGCCACCTCCATTTCAGAGAGCTGGTACTCCTGGGCGCAAGGGTGGATGCTATCATTCAACCAACTTGTCAACAACATCCGGTACCTGGGCCGAGGCGGGCTGCGCACGAACAGGTACTGGATCTGGAAAGCGCGCCAGGCAGAAGCGCAGTCGCAGATCTGGGATGATCCGCTGGGTTACTATTTCTGTAATATTGTGGCGGTTAGTCCCGAGGCGCAGGGCAAGGGGGTTGGGAGGATGTTGTTTGAGGCTGTTACGCGAAAAGCCGATGAAGAGGGTAGGAAGTGTTATCTTGAGAGCTCGAAGAATGTGCCGAATGTGCAGATTTATGAGCGCATGGGGTTTCATATGCGGATGGAGATGGAGTGTAGGGATGGGGAGGATACTTGTATGGTATGTTTACGTGGATGTTTTACCCTTTGTGCTTGTTTCTTTTCTAAGGGGCTTTCCTTTTTGGGAAGTTCGTGGCTTTTTGACGCGTTTGGTACTTCGTGGCTAACTTTGCGGATAGTTGTACTGCATGGTGCGGAATCCCAAGACTGCAGAGTGAATTCCGGATATTCTATTATTCAATACTCCTGCCTTGATCTCGTTCTTGAGTCTCTGGCCTTTATTTATATAACCATATGTGCCCCAGCTCCTGAGAGGTCCTCGTAGAACATACACAACCTCTCTCTTTTCTCCCCTCCTCCTCTCCCTCTCTCACTTAGTCTTCCCCGTCTCCTCGTCGACAGGGCGCCTGTTTCCCTGAAAAAGGGAGGGGTTTGTGTTGGCGCCACTATATAGCTTGTTCCCAGTCAGTATAATTCCGCTGAATTCGCTTTCATCGACACAGGTGAAAGCGTGGCATACTGCAGATAGAGTCCAGCGCATTAAATCGATAGATCAAATGCAGATGATGGAATCTGCTCATTTTGCAGACGGAATTGAAGAAGAAAGTTGATAGACGAGAATGGGAGGAGGTGCAGGGAGAGGAAATCTGCCCATTTTGCAGATGAAAATGAAGAAGAAAGTTGATGGACGAGACGGAGAGGTGGCTGCTGGTTGAATGGGGGAAGAAGAGGAAAGAGAAGAAGGACTAAATACAATGCAGGCGCCTACAGTACAACCAGGCACCTGTACTCGCACCTTCCTTGTTGGTCCTATCACCACTTATCTGTCTGTCTATGTTAACTGAAACACTTTCCAAATATCTTGACACCTCAAACCCCAGATCAGGGGCTAGATCGACAGTTTCAAGTAGTCTCCGTCCTGGCCCGATTGTAAACCGAGCTCAACGCTCTGGCCCAGTCTTCTTCTATCTACAAACGAACCGAGTAACCCTGCAATAAGCAGCTCCTTTTTCCCAGGCCCGAGTTTGAGTTTCAGGGGAGCATTTTCAACTGAGCAATTAGACCTGTCACTCTCTCCTATAGCCTGAGACAGGATTTGAACGGTCCATCCAAATTGTATAGTTACTCGGTCCGAACAGAAAAGATCGATGTCAAAAAATAAGTCTGCAATAAATCTTTTTCTAACTCCCTAGCAATCAGCACTCAGTTTGAACAATGGACGATTCTGCAAGTAATCTTTACCTCCCACCGTTTCAGACCTGGCCCGATTTGAATCTCATTCCGGCTCCCCGCCGACTTTCGGTTTCCCGTCGGGTTGGAGCAGGCCTTATATTGTCGACAAGACAGAAAGCAAACAAGAGGGGTAGAAGACAATATAAACTCGAGCTTGAAACATCTACCCCAGATCTTGGATCCATGGTTTTGGTCGCCATGTCTCGTTTTACTCTGGTTTCTTCGGAAGTCCCTTTGATATCTTGAAAACGTACATTGGATTTGTCCATGTTATTGAGTCCTCCGCCCCAGAGGATAGCACTTATTGTCTGTTTGAGTTGTAAGACTTCCCTTTGAAATCTGTCGGGAAGGTTTACTGATGACGTCCCATAGTAGTAGTTGTGCTACTTGCCGTTATATCAGTCGCCATGATACTACGGAAGCGATATCGACCCAATCTCGCCTTTTGGGCGGGGCGTCAACGGCTGGATCGAGATGCAGAGGAAGCAACAGCACCCTATTTGACCAGCTGTCAAGAAAATACCTGCGAGAAGAGCCCTCTGGACGCCATCCCCCAATCCACATCAACCCATTTGCACAACATTTCGCTTTCGTCCACTGCATCAGAGACAGAAATTGTCAACCAGCTAGCTCTTATAGCAGCTGCCGTCAGTCGCCGCTCGTCTGCCAGTGCGAGCACGATCAAGTCCTCTGCGTCGTCACTTGGGAGCCAAGACAGAAAGCAGTCAATGAGCAACTTGGTCAAGCAAGAGGAAATTCAAGAAGAAGAGGAAGAGTCCTTCCACCACCTCAGCAGCCTCATCACCGTTTCCTCACTACCACAGTACCCATCTGCATCCGGACTCACCTCCAGTCCATCGACAATAACAGTGGGCTCTACAGCTGAGAAAGGCGATCTGCCCCCATTACCTTCCCCTGTTGGCGTCTTCCGCAAACCCTGTCCTCGTTATAGTCCGCTGCCTCCCTTGTATATTATTCCCAAGCCGCTGAAAGTTAGACCTGAAGTGAGGTTCTGAGCTTTTGATACATGTCATGGCCAATCATGTCCGAGATGATGGGTGGGTTTTTGAGTTTGAAATATGAAGTATATTCGTGTCAGGTAGAACGAACACATTTACCTAACATAATTACAAAACAATTTAATGATACAAGAGTCGATATACATGTACCGCGCTCGCAAGCCTAACTCGATCCAGGCAGAAGGATCTCGAGCCCCTATTTGCACCGGGCTTCAGGACCGTTTCTGGGATGGGATCGTCCGACTAGCGTCGGTCTGTAGATGGAACCCCACACAATGACGTTTTCGCAAGTATGCATCAGGGGATTTAGCCAGATTTACCAAAGACAGGCACAATCGAGGATGCAGATGTGTCCAAAATGGATAAATTCTACTTATCTAAAGCTCGCACAACTCTATCCTAATGTCGGGAACGACCCTGTTCGCGTGGTTAGGTGATTCTGAGAAAGACCCGGCGACCAAAAACCAGGACCGCGGGATAGATAAAGTGGAGAGAACGAGCGTAAATGCCTTGAAAGAGAGAAATGCTGGCCAGGATATGGTAGTTGTCTGTTTTAGCCAAGGCGATTGTCCGGATCGGCAACGACGCGCAGTCGGAGATAAATGTCCGTGGTTGGCGGATAACTTTGACGCGAAACATGGTCAGGCGGCTTGGCGTACTCGTCACCCATCGAGTCTTTAGCGAAGAACTTGCAAGACGGGATCACCGGGTTTCAAGCCATTGGTCACTATCGGAGGTGCTTGCGAAAGAGCAGGTAAATAGCGGCTGTGGCTGACTCGGCTACATCTATCCGATAGCCCAATTTTCGCACAGACCGAGTCTCTCTCATGCAGTTTACCCGATAACTAGTATTTACCAGACAGCATGGATACTGATATTGGGTGCTATCGTAGGCTACTTTTCAACATCATTCCTGGTCCATATCTCTTGCTTGTTGTGTGGTTGTAGATGCTCCAAACTTACACCGTATGGGTCAAATGAGCTCAATCTCCACTCCCAAGGCACCATTCCTTTTAGACGCAATCCTTTGGTCTAAAAATACGTAATAGAACTTTTAATCGCCGCCCCTGGCCAAATAACGAACATAATCCGTGCTTTGAGTCCCGCCTAATGCCTCCCGCAGTATACCCTACCAACTAGAAAATTGGAGTCAAGATAGGCGTAAAAGCGGACGACGTACCATTCTAACTCAATGAGCGCTTCGTGGCAGTGGTCTTGACTGCGGCTGTCCATACTTGATTCTAGGTAGCGGGATTCACACCCTGGTCGGTGGCTCAAATCGCTGACATTGCCAGCTGTGTGGAACCGGCTCTGGAAACTGCCCCTATTTCACTACTATTTTCCTGTTAACGGTAAAAGACAAAACAACAAGTCAATCCTAATACTACCAGGTATCTTTAACCCTTGGAACCGATATCGCAGTTCTACATACTGTGCAGGGATCTGTGGAAATGCGATATAAACTACTAGAGATTCGTTTCGCACAACAACCAGCGGTTTGCTGATACAAGGCTTACGTCGGTCGCAGATTGATATCGCAGTGGCTTAATTTGCCTGAAATGGGTCCCAGTACAAATGAGCGCCCGACGGCGCCCAGACGTATCTTAGGCATCTACCGATACGTATCTGCCTTTTAACTCTCCCCAGCGCGACGCCCTGGGCGCCATGCAATGATAGAAATTGTACAGTCCTAGCGCAAGGCAAGTACCGTTGTTATTCTCCGGAAAATCCTCGAATGATACCACCCTGAAATATGAACATTTGCCAATGCGAATTAGTATTACAGCTTCGGTTCTAGATCGTCCTTATAAATGACTAGAACCCACTAGCGCCATCGAGAGGGATTTAGTGACCCAGACATTAGAAATGCGCCCTAGTTATGTAGTGGCCAATGACGAGGGGAAGACCCGCATCAATCCATCGTTCGGGGAGTCTACCGACAGGCCCTTGGTCAGCATTTCACAGTCCAGACGCGGTCTCGTCCGATAGTGCCTCGTCGGAGGCCGATCTGCTACCCGTCAGCCAGCCTGCTTTGTGCCCCTCTGTCTCCTGCCTGAACCCCAAGGGGCGTTTACTTTTTCTCTATCCTCCGTCCTGAGACAAGGCTTAAGTCCGCGTTCCACAGCAGCATTGCATCATCGGGTCTCGGTGTTCCTACCGGTTGGTCCCCTGCTAGGCCCTTGCCGGGCACGGGTCGGTAATCTCAGTACAAAAGAGGCAGGGCGCCCGGTCACATCGCGTCTCTTGATACATGACCCTACTCTAGAAGAGGGATCTGCCGGTATGAGGTGAAATCTAGGGTAAATAGTAGTATTGTCAACAATAACGGTGTGACAGATTTTTGAAACAGCAGGGCGAGAGAAGGCCGTAGCACCAAGCCTGGAGGGGCAGTCAAGACGGGCGTTGATTCCCTACAGGTGGCGGAGGGAAGGGGGGCACGCCCGTTAAAGGTTAAAAGCTTCATACTAACTCCAGAAATGCACATATATTGTGTGGTGTAGCAGGGAAAGGCGCCTGAACATTGAAGAAGAGGGTATGAGCGGGCAGTGCATGATATTTAATTCTCTCAATTGGCAGCAGATCCATGCACTGCTGCAAGTGTCGACAATGTATGCCTGCTGGGCCAATGCACCACCCTCGATCGGGAAGAGCCGCCTTTGAGCATCACTCCTACTGGCAGGGATTGGATGCTCGGCATAGCAGAAACCCAATTCTGCAGCGTGCGTATCTACTGCGAGTCCTGTGCAGCGCACACTCTTTGACACTCCTTTTCGTCATCTCTCGCCAGGTTGGGGCACCCCTGGTCTAATCACGACGGGATATAGGGCAGAGGCATATTTGCGGCCCGCCCTCCGCAATCCTGGGCCATGCCGGCTCTCGGAGCCGAATCCTGTAACCGTTTATGATAAAAAGAAAGGCCGCCAACGGTACGAGTCAGCTATGCATGTGATTGTTGGGTCAGCCTAGATAGTTTACTTTAGTGTTCTGGCCAAGTAACTAGTTAAGCCAAAGACGAATTGAGTCATAAGAAAGAAAAGTTTACTTACCAGGCTGCTGACAAGGGCGATTAGAGTCAATTCAATTGGAAAAGCGCTTTTTGGGTAGAAATGTGGCAATGTAACAAGGCCCCAAAATTCAAATTATAATCCCCGGTCTAACCAAAGAAAAACATACTTGCTCGCACACACCCACGCATATCCATGCAAGACGCGAATACAAATACACCGAAACAGAAAACAAAAACGCCGGAACCCGCTTCAGAGGAATGAGAAATGGAAAGGAACCTTGCAAAAATGGTCCCTAGAAAACTCCGCGAACTGCAGTATAGCCTAGCCTCCAACACCACAAACTTAAAAAACCAAAACCGAGACGGGCTCCGAGGAAACCGAGGAAAAAAAATCATAATTTAGGAACGTCGATCATTCCCGGCGCGGCCAATAGTCGATTTCACATTGAGTGATTAAGTGCACACTCCCCTTCTCAATCGTCATCAACTCCGGTGACGCGGGCCTTTGAGTGGATTGCCAGTCGGTTGTAACCGAGTAGTTCCTGGCGATGAAAGATTATCGCCGCGCCAAGAACGGCGGGCGCACATGGGGACTGGGTGTATCATAGACGCACACGCACACACGCACACGCCCACGCCCACCCTCTCACCCCGTCGGTGGGCGGCAGAGGAGACAATTGCCTACCACGACGATAAACCGCTCGTGAGGGCCTTCGGGACAGCTTTGGTCTTTACTGCCATCCATCGAGGTGCGAATGAGGTGGGCAATGGGATTCTGGCAGGTGCTATAGACGTAGTAGTTTTTGAAATATTCGCACATCTCGATCCCATCGGGGCGGGGGGTGGCATGAGATAGCAGAGTAATGCTGGGCGAGGGAAGAGGGCAGCGCGGGAGGAATTGAGTTGTACGGCAAGAGGGATTGCAATTCGGGATGAAGAGATCAATAAGAACATGGAGGCATATTAGAAGAAGACAGGACTGGCCGGCGTGCCCGAGTAAGGCCACAAGGGAGATGGGAAGGAAGAAGAATGGGGACGCCGATGAGATTCCATGTCGTGGTAACCACGATCCAGAATTTTATTGGCATAATTCCATATCTGGAAGAGACGCTGGTCCAAGGGGACAGGACCTATAGTAAATAATAATACTGCACATCATCTCCCCACTAATAAATGCCCTATGCACACCCCCCTCCCTCGCCGACATCCCGGTCAGGAAGCGGGTCCTGCATGAAGGATGCCTGGACCTGGGTTAGCCGTTGACACGCCCGAGAAACTATGTGCCGTGGACTCGACATTTCTCTGACACGGCACTGTTCGTCGATTGCGTCAGATGGGAGATCGACATGGTTTCACGCAGCCGTTTGATGCCTTCATCTCACACGTGGCGCTAGTCAGGATCTTCATACACCGGACAGGATTCCGGGGTTGATATCTCCCGGCACCTCCCTGCAGTCACCACGGAGCACCTTTTGTTATCACCCCACTAGAGAGGAGTCCGGTGACCTTCAAAGTTGGACAACCGGAGCATGGACGTGTCGGGCAATCCTCGCGAGGCTCCATTCATGGTAAGCCGAGGATGTGACTGAGGGAAAAAAAAAAAAAAAAAAGAAAGGAGGCGCAGGAGACCATCTGTACTACCCTGCGACATGCTCCATTCACCTGCGGGTCCCCGGGCCCACCTGATCGCTTAACAGGAGCTAACTAGAAGCTGACGAAATGGTTTTAGTTAATTAATGCCCCAGCAGCCCGATGAGTGACACGCCCGACAACGTACAAGGAAAACAGTAGGCGGCGAAAAGGGCAGATTGACTGACTTGGGGTAAGATTTTTCCTGCATCAGGGTCACTCAAAGGGATAGCCCCGTCGGCAACAAGCCAGGATCGGCGACCCTGTCTCCGATCTATGCGAAGCCGCTACACGAAAATCTCTGATATGCGCGTGTGGTCTCCGGGAGCCCTCCGCGAATGAAAACAAAGCCGGGGGAGAC